ATGAGTCATACATTGCTTTCCATGCTCAATGATTATAATACCCCATTACAGAGAGAAGCACTGTTTCCCAGCAAAAGTGAATACTCGGCTTGTGAGCCTGGACCAGAATTCACTTTTCACTCTGCCATGCACTACACGCTGCAACAAAGCATACGGTTGAAATCAAAAACAGGCGTGGGGGGTTGCATCATTAGGTAGAGCATCCAACTTTTACATCACTCGTAGGGTCATGTTGACATTTCCAACACCACTGTCTCCATTCTGAGAGTGTAAGGAACACATCGTCCCCGTTTGCTTGTAGTTTGGAGCTGGAATGATCCATCTATGTCTGTGTGCTTTTAGCAATAAGCTAATTTGGAGAAAAATCTACCACTGGCTTCAAATCAAGCACACTGTGTCATGAGTACAGAGGACCATTGAGAGGTTCAACACAATTATTTGAACCTTAATTAGTCTGGAAAGGACTAGACGATATACTTTCCAAGATATGGCAAATAACGAACTATTTGTGCAGCACAAAGGATCTCCTTAACTCTGACACGGGGTCAAAAACTTGTCCTGCATATTTTGCTTTATCTTCCATGCTATTATCAGGCATTAGGGCTGATTTACAGAGTCGTTTCCACAAAGCCTGTATTTACAGGGCTGAAGTGGCACATGCAGTTGCAGGGTCACTGCTTCTCCCCACAGAACAGCTAACTCGGATTCCTTCCTCAGCGCTATGGCAATAGGCACACACAAGAAGCCACTTTTTCTCATCGCCATTTATCTGATTGAGTTTGACGTGACCTCAGGATTGCCACTTCAAGGTAAGTAAGAAAAGCCCTTCAGAAATTACAGTTACATTCTCACTGGAAGATTGAAGCTAAGGCAGATGGGTGATGGTAACATAAATCTGAATATCCCTCTTAAGGTTAAAACCCAATGTTGTAAATGAAACATTGGCATTGTTGCCTTTAATTTATATAAACTGATATGCCATTACCAATCAGGAAGTAATGTCATTGGTTAAAATCTCTCTGGTCACAGTATCTTTTATGATTTTTTTCTTACTGGGCTCATGAAAAACGGTATATGGGGGAAAAAAAAGTCAAAATCAGAGTAAGCCACATAAATTCCTTTTGAAAACGAGTTTTCCAGATATGAGACTATAAATAAAAAACAGCTGTGGACCAGCTGTAGTCGACCTTTAACCCTGCCATAAACCTGGCGTGCTTAAACAGAAAGAACCTTTTAACAGCCCTCAATGTGTATGTGCAAACCTTGCTGAAATGCAAGGCGTAGCATCATTATTTTTATAAAATCTGCTCTAAGACTGCAGATGTTATTTGATTAGAAATCTTCTCTAAAACTAGCACAGAATGTATTTTCACTTGAAAAAAAATGCAGCAGTATTTTTTTTTTCATGGTCCCCTGTTCCACATAGAATGGGAAGAAAACATCTGGAAGCCATTTTTTCTGGCTTTTTGAAGGGCTTAGCAGACAGCACAATGGAACTTATCAAGTCCAGATGGGAAGGAGCTCAGAGAAACAGCGAGGCCTTCTTCTCTATATTTCTTTAAAACTTATGTAGAGAATCAACACATATCAGTTCTTACTGTATAGGGTATTTCTCAAGTCGTTACCATATTTTGTGATCTATTAGCCTGTCAGCCTTTTCTTCCAATATTTTCAATGCCCTTGGTGACTTTGGCCAAAACCCATTCATGTTTTCATTTGCACAAGGTATTCAAAGAATGTTATTTCAGCATTTCCGATGACTAAAATACACTCGACAAGTACGATCTGAACTGGTTTAAATGTCTGGTATTAACAAGGGTGATCCAAAAAAAAAACTTTTACTTAATTAAACAACAACAAACCAAAGAAAAAAAGAGTCAAAGCAGATTATCTAATACTTGTGAAAAGAGTCCATTGATTGAGGAGGCCAGATTAAAAAATGCAAGTCAGCAGAAACACAAAGGAAACCATTTGTAAAATAAGCTAGATTTAGTCTATAGCAGTTATACTGTGTCCCACAGACATGTGAAAACATCAGTAAGCTAAAAAGTCGAGACTACACATATCAATCAATCCTAATTTGAATTCTGCATTTCAGAGTTTATATTGGCTTCAAACTGTTGCAAAGGTTCTTTGAAAAGCTCACATCTTACCCTGCTGCCTCCAAGACACAGAGAAGAATTATGGGAAGCAAAGATGAGAGGAGCTACACTATAAAGAATGCCTCTCTTCAGGCAGTGAAACTGTAAACCTGACAGCAGTCCTGACCTTCACTTTTGAACTCTGACCCCTCTTCAAATTCTTGTCCAGGGCCTTCTGTTATTACCACTTTTCACATAGCTTAAACTGAGTTTTTCCTCTCTAATACCAAGACAAGGTCTTTCTAAACGTAAGTCTACTGAAAGACAAACTGACCGCAAAATATTAAAATATATACACTGTGATACAAGTATATAACTTAATCACAGTATAAATTCAATGCATATTTCTGTATTTGTCTTTATAAAATAATGAGTAAGGAGCTTATTCCACATAATTCAATTCTGGTCAGCATCAAATAAGCTAAGCTACATTTAACAGCAGACACACAGCATTAAGACTGTCTTTCATACTTTAAGAGAGACTGTAATAAAGCTGCAACAAATTAGCTTAGCTCTACATAGCAGGCTATTTTAACCTGTTAGCAGTCGGACGTACCGCCCACGGTACATTGGATGGTTTAGGGGACTAATTGGACTGCTAAGGGGTTAACATCGTTTTCCCAACTGCGTTAGTTTATAGAATGTGGCGTTTTAGTATTTGTTTATTAACTCATTTCTGTGTTTCAAAATGTATCACATGCCAACAGTTCACAGTGAAAAAGGCTCTGAATCAAATGTAGTGAAAATGTAGTTATGTTTCATGGGTAAGTAACCCGTTGTGTAAAGAATATGCTAACTGCTAATAGGTTAGGCCTTGCTGTATTGTTTGCTTGTCTTTTTATTGAGTTCTACACGCATTTTAGTTATAGGAAATACATTAATTATAGATTTATGAACACATTATATATCATTTGATAAGAAATTTGTTGGGCTATGATCTTGACTGGGTATTGTATTCAAAACAAAAACCATTGTGGAATTAGCATCATACTACCTAAATAGCTGGTGATAAAACATGAATACAACATTAATTCTTTAGTAAATAGTATTTGCTCAACTGTCCTTTTTTGATTTCAGTGTTAAACAAAAACAAAACAAAAAAGCATACTTAAATTTTTGGTTTTTAATTTAACCATAGCTGACAAGCCCTAAACAATTAGTAATGTATGCCTGGGCAGGTCTCTACTAGTCTTCAGCTTGATGCATTTTGGTCCTCCCTCAGGCTAAGAGGTGATGAGGCTTAGGTCAGCAATAAGCTTTCACTTGTGATAAACTTGCTAGCTGTCAGTAATTATTTGTAGACTATTTGTCTTATCTGATTGTACGAGGTCTAGAAAAGCCATTTAGCAAAAAAAAAAAAAGAAAAGTTTTTATTAATAGCTAAACTGGATTTCATTTTTGCATTGCACAGTGTTTAACTGAAAGCAGCTAATTTTAAAAAATGAATGTAAAAATCTAAAAGATATTTGATGGACAGAATAATTAGTTCACAAAAAAAAAGCTTTCATGGAGCTGGCATGTTTCTTGCAATCAGTCATGAAGTGCTTCCTGTCTGGCGTGTGTCAAGTTTCAGAAAATATACCAGAACCCTTAGAGATTTCTTACAAAACTCTCGTTCCTCTCTGTCAGTTTCAAGAGATGATTAAATCCAGCCACCACCATCAAAATGACCTCAGGCCCACACTCTTTAATGTCCCACCAAAAATTCAACTCCTCCTCAGTCATCACAAATGACCCAGATTTGAGTCCAGCCAGCATACAGTGACCAAGGTTTTGTCCAGTTAATAACCAGTGTTTATAGGAAACATGAAAATAAACACTTTGCAGTAATTTTCTTAGTGTATATTCAACGACATGAACCTATAAAACCACTTCAACTTTATATGTTATCATGGCTTTCTAAACCGGAGTGCATTTTGAACTCCATAATGGGCTGTAATCAGGCATCACAACAAATTTACACCATCAGCACAATCATGGAAGCTTTTTAACTGCCCCGAGCAGACAGAAGAAGCTATCTGTTCATCTCAATGTCCTGTGTCAGACCTTCACAGCACACAGCAGCCCGCCACCCATGCCAGGCAGTCTTAAGGCGCTAATAATACATATAGGCCAAGCATAAACCCAACTGCATGCCCTCTCACCACTGAGACAAAGAGGTGGTCACTTCTCCAATTAAAATAAGCGGGCCTCTAACTGGCATACCAAACTATTATTTGTTCATGTTTTTGGACTAGACTCATATAACTGTCAGTGAGAAACATCGGGAGAATTTATAGAATGCATTTAGTGAAAGATGTGTTTGCTTGAGCCTCAGTGCAGGGCCCCAGCGCTGTCCCCTGATGTGGAGTCCTTAAGGCGGCTCCACCCTACCACTTCAGAGGAGCTTCAGCCCCTCCTTCTTATGAAATTATACTCATCCTTCTCATCTGCTGAAAAAGGAGCACTGGTAAAAGAGTATTTAGACTTTAAGATGCACCACAGCAATTACTCCTACATAATAAGTATGCCAGAGAAAAACTAGTTACTTATGATGGTTACTAATTAATGCATATATTTCCTATTTTTTATGCATTGAAATAAATAAATGCACTTCAGCTATACTGCTTTGGCAAACAAAGAAACAAAAAAAAACTTAAGCACAACTTGCAGATGAAACCTCCAAAAGCAGTCTTTTAATTCTTTTTGACAAGTTCCCATAGTTTCGGGGCACACCACCAAGATGAATACATTAAAGAGGAGGGGCAGACATCTGTGGTCCACTATGAGCGAAAAGGCAAAAAACTTTTCAGTGCAACGCTCCTCCAAAGTGCATCCACAAAAAAAGAAAGAAAAAAGCCCCACACAGCTGCATCTCACCTGAGCTCGCTTGCGACGTGATAAAAAGGAGAATCACGGATAAAGTGATTTGGACGTCCCTTATCCTCCGTTTAACTTTCCATCTTATATGGGTATCCATGACCGCCAGAGACGTCCACGGCAAAGTGGATTCACTTTTTCAACAGCTAATTAGACTTGCAAAAACTTCTGGTCAGGACAATAAAAAAAAAAACTAAAAGCCAAAAAAGTCCCAGAGAAAAAAAGGGGGGAGGGGGGGTATATCGTTATTTCTCAAGCAGCCATAAGGGTTTGTTAGTGTGTGTTTTCCCCCAGCTGGTTGACGGACGGCCACCGTCTCTCCCGTACTCCTCTCCTCTCTGCGCTTCTGAACTGTCCTGCACCGCTGCGCCTCCGATCTGAAGTGCTGGCCCCTCTCTTTCAGTCACGTAGAGCCCCTTCAACTCAACAGGGCAACACACACACGCACAGAAGAGGAAGAAGTCTTCCCCCCCAGGCTGTCACTCACTTTGCGGACAGGAGACTCGGGCAAATCAGAGGAGCCCGTATATTAGGGCCAGCCCTGTTATTGGCCGAGGGTGGGAGGAAAAGTTGAGGTGAAAGTTTCACGCCTCCAGCTCTTGCGCTCGGAATACTTTTACATGGAGTCCGCTATTTCCAGAGAAGTGGTTCAGAGCGGGAAAAGCAAAACTGCTTTTTTATAGATGGAAAGGCGAGGTGTTTTATCTGCAAGAGCTGATTTATCTGGAGCTGATTGTCATGGGACTGCGAGAAAAATCGTGCTGTGCAATCCACAGGTGGACCCCCAGTGCTAGTTGATATAACAGTATACTGAGCCTAGATGATCAGATGCATCTATTTATGACTTTTTGTAATGTTCTGCCTTTTAAATGAATCAGATATTTACTCTAAGGAATAATCCACTCAAAGCTCATATCTTTTTCATGTTAATCGGTGATCTACGGGCTTTAAACCTGTTGAATGTATGATGAAATAATGTGCTTGCAGATTTTATTACCCTCGGAAGTTTTTTCATTAGTACCACAACACTTTAATGTTTAAGAGTTAATAAAAGTAAATATGTAAAAGAATTTCCACCTTTTATGTGGTTTCTTTATCTAGAGCAGAGACGTGAATTCATTTAATATCATTCCCACATACAGCCCACTTTGATCTTATGCAGGCCAGACCAGTGAAACTACCCTTTATGTCAGTGTAGAGAAATTTAACTACACATTTAATCAATGCAAGATCTCAATATGAGAAAAAGAAGCTCAAATTCAACAGTATGTCTCACTCTCTCTACATGGCAAAGTAATGCCTCTGTAGTAAATTAAAGAAATCTCTCAGCATGACTCATTGGGCTTGAATTGTAAGAAGTAAATGTGTAAAACACAGAAATCTATTGCTTAATTGCTTTGGTGTTGTATGAACGGCCATAGGGGAAGTCTTTATCAGTAGGAAAAGCTGTAAAGCTTGTGAAAATACAGTTAAAAATGCCCAATTTCCTAAATTTCCAAAGCCATCCAATGGGCTCGAATGGAGTTTTTGCTTATGTTTGACAACCCAAATCTAGAGGAGCAGAGGTGGGTGGTGATCGATAATAAGAATTTATATGGCGGTGAAAGGGGAAAAAATAACAGCTGAGGGTTAAAAAGAGAAACATCTCCAGGAGGACCAGGCTCAGGGAGGGTGGCCATGTGCCGCAAAGCTGGTTTGAAGGGGGGGGGGAACAGGAAATGGAAAAGATGAGGATAGAGAGGCAACAAACAATGCAACACACAAGAAAACAACACTTAGTGCCATATAGTCACCAAATAACACTTTTTTTAGAGCTGAATGTAGCATGAGATTCAAACTTTCTGTTGTTTCAAGAACTGCCAAAAAATGGCAGCTGTCTTTTATAAGCTGTCACATGCCTCCTCCAGTGGGGGGCAGACTTCTATTAATTGCCCAGTAAAAGTTGGTTCTAAGCAAAGTAAACAAGCAGCAACATTGGAAACCGTGCCATGATGTCACATTGTGAAGTGGGATAGGAAAGGATGAGTCTGAACATGGTCCCTCTAACTTCAGACCTCTAAATTCAGACTAAGAGGTGTTATATGTTACACGCTGTAGGATTTTTAAGAGCAACAGCTTTACTTGAAGGCTGTTAAGCTTGTTAGATTAGTTCAGCACCTTTGAAAGATCTCTCAGATGGCCTCTCTCAGATCCTCAGGTGACCTCTTTGACCACATGGAAAAACTCCTTGGTTTTAAAGACATTCATTTTTTCCCCTCTGTTGTTTGAAACGAAAAGCTTGTTCTCAAAAGCGGGGTAGAAATTTACATTAAGTATAAAGTAGTATTTCTAAACTGACCACTTAGCCATATACTGTAACCGTTACGTGGTAACATGGGTCAAATTATGGCCCGAGCCCTATATTTAGGGTGGGTTCATGCCTACACCACACTTGCCCACACTGTGTTAATCTCAGAGACTCCAAACTACTCCTGAACAAGGCCGTCACGTGCTTACTTAATTTGCCTTCTAACAAAAAGGATGTTGATACGCTGATGCTGGCACACTGCTGGTTAACTTTCATTTTAATTTTGACTTTCATCATTTGCTAAAAAACAGTTCCTGTGAGACGTAAGATAGGATATAGTGTCTAAAACAGGAAATTATGATTTACTCCTCAAGTGTTTCTATCCGTTTCTCCACGCTTTGTTTTCCACACACGCACCAAATGTCAGGCAAGCTATGACAGTCTGGCAAGCTATTACTATTACAGGGAGTGCAGAATTATTAGGCAAGTTGTATTTTTGAGGAATAAT